TCCCCTTCCTGCTTCTCCCCTGCCTCCTCCCCCCTTCCTGCTTCTCCCCCGCCTCCCTCCTGCTTGCTTGGTATTCATAGCAATATTGAAAGTTGAGCTATGAACCCAGGCTCTAACTATTCATGGGGTGTGAGCCTGTGATATATCTACACCACCAAGGATAGTAGTAAAAATAGTAGTAATAGTAGAAATAGGTAGTAGTGTAAATAGTAGTAGTAATATAGTAGTAGTTGAAATAGTAGTAGTAGTACTACTTGGATATTTAATTTTAAGGTAATAGCGGCGAAGGTGTGGCTATTGGGGGAGGCTGGAGGACAAATTATAAAAGTAGTAGTAGTAAGGGGGGAAGAGGAGAGGAAAGTAGAGAAAGAAGACGAGAGAAGAAGGAGGAGGTGAAGGAGGAGAAATGGGAAGAGCACCAGGAGCAGCATTACCAACGACAGCAGCAGCAGCATTACCAACAGTTAAGAGATGCCGTAACAGTAACAACAGAAAGACAGAAATAACAGAAGCAGAGATAATAACAGAAGACACAACAACAGCAGCATGAGAGACAGCATAGACAGAAACAGCAGGGGGCCGTGAAACATGTCGGGAACGTGTGTAGACGACCCTCGTTACTCACCTGGTAAACAAGGCCCACCACCACGACGGGGGGGACCTAGGGGAAGGGGGTGACTCAGGGGGAAGGGGTGACTTAAGAGGGGGAGAGGAAGGGGGAGAAATGGTGACCTAGGGTGGAGGAGGGATGGAGGGTGACGTAGGTGGAGGGAGGAGGACTGGGGAGGAGGAGGAGGAGGAGGAGGAGGAGGAGGAGGAGGAGGAGGAGGAGGAGGAGGAGGAGGAGGAGGAAGCTACTGGAAGGAGGAAGGGTTTGTGTCAGGGGAGGTGGAGGGGGGGGGAGGGGGAGGATGGCTGTGTTGTGGTGAAGGGAATGGAGGAAGTGGGTGGTGTAGGATGGGAGAGAGAGAGAGGAGAGAGGGGGGGGGGGGGGGGGGGGGGGGGGGGGGGGGGGGCGCTGGAGGCTGTGTGATCGTGCATATGCAACACTCTCTTGGATCAAACAAATGCTCATTTATTGCATAGTACAAACACTGGGCGGTTATCGGAAGCTGTTTACGGCCACCTCTTTAAACAAGGCGCCGCTGGTACCACACTTGATGGCTCTTCAACGTGGCCATTTTTACCTGTGTATAATGGTTTTCTTGCCTACCTGGAGGAGGGGGAGGAAGGAGGGAAGGAGGGGGAGGAAGAGGAGGAGGAGGGGAGGAAGAGGGAGAAGGAGGATGAGGGGGAGGAAAGAGGGGAGAAGATTAGGAAAAGGAAGGGAGGAGGAGGAAGAAAGGAAGAGGGCAGGGGAAAGGAGGAAGGAAGGGAAGGAAAGAGGAAAAGAGAAGGGGAGGGAGAAGTACATAGGGGAGGAAAAAAGGAATGGGAAGCAGAAAAGGAGGAGGAGAAGAAAAGGAGGAAGAGGAGGAAAGGAGGAGGAGGAGGAGGAAAGGAAAAGGAGGAGGAAAGGAGGAAGAGGAAAGGAGAGGAGAGGGAGAAAATGGGAAGGAAAATCCCCTTTGGTATAATACACTCAAAATACCTCTAAAATAATATAGTCGGAATATATCCCTTATATGGTATACCACCGAGACAAAGATATACCCGAATACAATACATCTTTGATATAATATTTCCACACAGTATATCCTCCGAAATATAACCCAGTATATTATATCTAAAATAATATACCCCGACTCCATATATCCCAGTATAATATATAAAAAAATGGTATATTCTTGTCATAATATATTCTTGACAAAGTATAAATAATATATAACTTACCTTCAACACAGTATATCAACTACAAAATATAACCCTGGCAGAATATACCATCAGTGTGATAGTATAGTATAAATAATAGATGACATTGTATAGGAATAATATAGCACCTATACTGTCTAAATTCTACATTATATAATATAGTCTAAGCTATCTCTGTAAATCTAAGCATATACCATATCACCATATATCCTATTCCCAACAGAGTATAACCCAGACTTAATATATTATACATATATGACACTGGGACAATATAGCTCAGGTATATCTCAGGTAATCACACAAGTCAAACCTATTCGTGATATAGACAAGGTCACAAAAGCCTGAAATGATATAGGAAAGGATATAGGAACATTACATAGGAAAATATAAGAGAGTCACGTGTTAAATAGTGAACAAGAGTTAGAATATATAGTTTTTTCTTTAAGTTTTGGTAAGGAAATATAGCTTTTCTGTATAGTTCGAATATACCCTTTCTTCTATTGCTGTAGAATATTGCTTTTTATAGTTTAAGATAAATGGGAAAGTACGGGTGTATAGCTTTTGTTTTACTGCGTTATGGAAATCTTAGCTTTTTTAATTAAAGAAATAAATTATAGCTTTCTTAGTTATGAATTAGAAAACTTAGCTTTTTTAACGAAAGAATAAAAATCATAGCTTTTTTACGAAATGAATGAGAATTTTAGCTTTTTTTTAGTGTGAAAGAATAAAAATGCCAGTCTTTTTTTTAAATAATAATAATTTAGCTTATTTGAGTTAAGGAATATAAATTATTTTTGTTTAGATAATATATGGAAATCGGACCTTGTTTCTTTGTCCGCTAAATAGCTTCGTGTGGGAGAGGTGGTGTGTGGTCACGACACGGAGGTGAATGTGCGTGACTCTGAGGACGGAGGAACAGCTAGGGGGGGGGGAGGGAGGGGTGGAGGTGTGAAAGAAGTGAGAGAGAGGAGAGAGGGGGAGAGGGGAAGAGTGTATAGTGAGAGGTATGACGTGAGAGGGGGAGAGAAGGGAAAGGCAGGAGAAGAGATGTGAAAGAGGAAAGAAAAAGGGAGGAGAAGAGAATGATGGAGAGAAGGAAAGGAGGAGTAAAGGAGAGGAGGCGAAAAGAGGAAACAGGGAAAGGAGGCGATAATTGGAAGAAAAAAAGGGTAGAAAGGTGAGACGGATAGACATAAGGAGGGAGGGAGAGAGGGAGAGAGATAGTGAGAGGTGGGAGAGGAAGATATACAGTGAGAGAAGGAGAGAGGGAGAGACAAAGTGAGAGGTGAGAGACGGAGAGAGACAGTCACAGGTGAGAGAGGGAGACACACATTGAAAAGATCAAAAAGTAAAAAAAAAAAAAAAAACTTTGAATCATCGCAATCTAAATCAAGCTCTCGTCATCCTAGCTGACTGCGGTTTAGCTTGGGTTATTGTTAGCTGGATCTAGCTGGAGCCATCGAACAGCTGCTGAATTCAATAAAGTCTCCACAGAATACAGCAGTCCCCCCTCTCCTGGTTTTCATTTATCCATTTTCTATTTCAGGTCATACCATTCTATTTTTTTTGTGTGTGTATCCGCCTGGCGTTTAGTTGATGATGAATTTTGCAAAGAAAAAAGAAAAATGATGCTTAATATAAAATTCCTCGTGTCTGATGCAATATGAAAAGTTCGTTCGTTGTGTATCATTGATTAAAAAATATAATTAAAATAAAAAATAATAAATAAATAAAAAGACCAAAGCGTTCATTAATAAAACGGGAAAAATATGTGGAAAAGAATTGGATGTGAAGGAAGGGGGGAAGGAGGGTAGGGAGGGGGAAGGAGGGTAGGGGTGAAGGGGTAGGGGAGGATAGAGGTGGGGTAAAGAAGGGGTAGGGAGGATAGAGGTGGGGTAAAGGGGGATATGGGGGTAGGAAGGGTAGAAGGGGATAGGAAAGGTTGGAAGAGGGTCAGGGGGAGGGAGGGCAGAGAGGGGGGAAGGGTAGTGGGGGGAGGGAGGAGAGGGAGGTAAGCGAAGGTAGAGGGAGGGTGTAGGGAGGTCAGGGAAAAGGGAGAGGGTAGGGAGGACAGAGATGGGGTAAAGGAAGGTAGGGAGCAAAGGAAGGGTAGAGGAATGATAGTAGTGAGGGTAGAGGGAGGGTAGAGGGAGGGCAGGAAAGCTGGTGTTCTGAAATTGGGATTAAGGTTGAAATCTTTAAAATTGGGAGATATATTCACTTTAATTTTACGTATTTTTGTATTTATCATTTTTTTCACACACCACTTCACATATTCTCTGTAATAGTAAAATTGGTAAGAAAACATATTAACTAGCAATAGCAAGTCCTATTAGGTGTATTGAGAACTGGAAGTGAAATTTGTAAAAAAAAAAAAAAGTCGAAATGGTTATATATTTTTTGAGTATCAGTAGATAAAACACTACCTGACTCTGTTAATAAAAGCACTGAAGATACATATAAATATTCCCCCTTTCAACTCTATATTAAAATAGAGTTTGACAGCAACTAAGGAAGATCTTGAGCTGAAAATCTGAAATCCTTGGATGACTGGTGGTGATGAGGGTGAGTTTGTCTCGGGTTAAAGGATGGTGTTTATTAGGGTGTAGGTGAGTGAAAGTAGACAGGTTGACTACGGATGGATTGGCGAGTCAAAATACTTTCTAACAGTCGCCACTTTTGGTATAAAATGATTAGGAGTCAAAAAAATTATTTGGTTGAGTAGTATAATTTCTAGAGTGTAAAACTAATACTATAGTCTAATGGGTACATAAAGACTTGCTTTATGCCTCATAGGTACATTAAAAAAAATTATTCATATATCATAAAGTAGGTCATATAAATTGCTCAAAACTACATATAATAACTCATGTCATATATGATAAAAAAACAGATATAGATTCTTGGGAAATAGTAAAATATATAAATATATAAGGAAAGGAGAGTTAGTTCAAGCTATATATTAAAATTTTATATAAATTTATTAGAATAAAATTGGGCAGGATTTTAGTAGAGAAAAAATATTAATTGATTTTTAATCCTTACGGAGAAAATTTTTTAAGAAATTTCTAATAGGAAAAAAGAAGCTCTAAAAGTTAAGTTGTTTGAAGGAAAAAAATATTGGTGATTTTTTAACTAGGCAAAAATTGGTGCCAAAATTGGGATATATGTAAATTGACTACACTCACCAGTCACCACCCGTCTTGGCGACATTTGGACGTTTCCGGCCGATTTGGTGAGGCTTTGGCTCGGCTACCAGGTTGACATCTGCAACAAACGTCAATACAAGTCAAAAATACACAAAAAAAAAGCTAAAAAATTTTTGTTTACAGAAAAAAAATTCACAAGGTTGAGCCCGAAAATATCTGCCAGGCTGGAAAACCATCTCTCTTTCTTTCTCTCTCTCTATCTCTCTCTCTCATTCTCTCTGTCTCTCTCTTTCTAGTAGTGTAAAGAAATCTATGATAGGATAAAAGCTCCGTCAAATCTGGTTATGTTATATTATAAAAAAATATATACGAGGGTACAGACTTTCGTAGTTAAAAGTAGTATTATCTAAGTAGAGGGGTAGGGGGTAAAAAATGATCTTTATAACTGGGCTGTGGTACACTAAGCAATGGGTTAGTTGACTAGAGAACAATGTACAGTAGTCATGCAGTTGTTGCCGGTCCGGGAAAATTACTTTGTAAAATGGTATATAGTGGTGGTTGACGGCGGCGCTGGGCCTCTTGCTTGTTGTGGTCGCGAGCTGCAAAGATAAGATTAACATGAACATAGATTAAGCAGTTGATTTGTAGTGAGTTGAGGTGACTGATGCGTGATATGTGCGGTGAATGTTGAGATGTGTTATGTGGAGTACTCACACACATACTAGTACTTGGTGTACACACAGACATACAAATACTTGGCGTATACACAGAAACATACAAGTACTAGGTGTACACACCAACATACATACTGTACAGGTATGTGGTGTACATAAGGAGACAAACATATGCAAACTATGTACACACGGGGACCGACATAAAGGTATAAACACACGTGGACATACATACAGGCATATTGTGTACATGCGGAGGTAGACATAATGTATGTAGTGTACACATAAAGACGTACACACAAGTATATGGTGCACATATGAGGACAAAGACAAAGGTTAGATGGTGTACATGCAGGGACGTACACACAAACATATGGTACACAAGAGGACGAACAAACGAACATATACACATGATGGTGTACACATAAGGACGTACATACAAATGCGTATAATGTACACATGGGGGCACACACATAGGAACATACTATACACATGGGGATGTACACACAAACATATGATGTATACATGAGGACGTACGTAGGGTTACATACACACAGACACAAGCTGACAGCACAAATGTACACATGGAAGACAACTGCAATTTTGAAACAAACTAAACAAACAAAGGTACACATACGATACAAGTGTACACACACACACACACACACACACACACACACACACACACACACACACACACACACACACACACACAACAAACAGTGACTAAACAGAGCAAACAATAACATAAACACGAAGACAAACACACAAACAAACACTAAAATACACCGTTACTAACATATACAGTAACAATAACACAGAGAGAAACATTGTTATATATTAGACATAGATAATACAGTAGTTATCTATCATAATACAAAATAAATATCTTTTAACTTAACCGCTGATTATTATTTTCTTAAGAGTATAATTTATGACCTTTTAATGGTATAATTCTGTAAACCTTAATGGTATAATTGGAACCTTCATTGGTATAATTATTTAACACGTTGGTTTATTTTAAGAAATTTTAATGGTATAATTCTTTAACCCTTAATGGTGTAATTTGGACTTTTAATGGTATAATTCTTTAACCCTTAATGGTATAATTTGGACTTTTAATGGTATAATTCTTTAACCCTTAGAAAGATCAAGACCCCCTGTAGTAATGTCCACTTATGATGTAATTAACTACATTATTAACTCATACTGGCAGTAATTAACCATTAAGATATATTACTAAAACCTTATCATAATCATAAGACCATTAATAATTATAGTAATTTAAAGGGGGAGACTTTAATTATATCATTACATTATATCACCAATTTCTAGTCGCCCCAGAGCTCCTCAGCGCATGTAAACAAACTCACTACACAGTTTATTGCTAAAACATATTAGTGTTTTTATTTGACTAAAACAAAAAACAAACCTTATATAAATGTTTAGTATTTATTTATTTATTTATATTCTTTGAAATCTAAACTAAATGACGGGAAATAGGATTGGATTGTGTAAATTTTAAGAGCGTGGATATTTACAGCAGACTCGAATGATTTTAAAAGTTTCAAACAAAAGTATGGATTTTACCACATCTCTCTGTCTCTCTCTCTCTCTGTCTCTCTCTCTCTCTCTGTCTCTCTATGAACTATTTATTACATCATAAACTCAAATCCTTGTCGCCTACAGTATATAAATAACGAAATCCTGTCGTGGGTTTTAATTGTTAGATAAATATATTGTCAACTTTCTCTTCACACACAAATGGGGTTTTAAAAGATGGTATTAGGAAGTTAATAGCTGCCATGATAGCTGCTAAACTACGTATTGTGTGAGGTTACGACACGATGGCCCTTTCTGTGTTGTGAGGTTACGACATGACAACTCTTCTTGTGTTTTGAGGTTACGACACGATAGCCCTCTCTTTTGTTGTGAAGTTACGACACGACAACTCTTCCTGTGTTGTATGGTTACGACACAACATTTGTGTTGTTGTACAATGACAAAACAACCAATCCTTTAATCGTTGAGAACAATAAAACAAACAAACAAACAAGCAAACAACAAACACAATTTTCCACAGTAGTGAGTCCAGGTCACGACAAAGACCATTTCTGTTGAGGTCTTACACAACTCTCACTTCTAATTTTCCACTTCTCGACGCCCGTGTCTGGGGGTGGCACGGCAAGTGAAAATTACCTTATTTATACTGTGCGAGTTTATATATATTTGTGTGTGTGTGTGTGTGTGTGTGTGTGTGTGTGTGTGTGTGTGTGTGTGTGTGTGTGTGCTCAGTGGTGTGTGGCGCCACTTGATAATTAGTAAGTTAATAAAACATTTACAATAGTAGTCATTAGCAGACGAGAACAAGGAACCTTAACCGGGATGGAGCCTTAACCGGGACAAAACCTTAACCGGGACAAAACCTTAACCGGGACAAAACCTTAACCGGGACAAAACCTTAACTGGAACAGAACCTTAACTGGAACAGAACCTTAACTGGAACAGAACCTTAACTGGAACAGAACCTTAACTGGAACAGAACCTTAACTGGAACAGAACCTTAACTGGAACAGAACCTTAACTGGAACAGAACCTTAACTGGAACAGAACCTTAACTGGAACAGAACCTTAACTGAAACAGAACCTTAACTGGAACAGAACCTTAACCGAAGATCTTGTGGAAATAAAGACTTCATGATGGGGAGGGAAGGAGTGAGGGATGGAGGGGAGGAAAGGAGTGAGGGATGGAGGGGAGGGAAGGGGGAACAGGAGGGGGGGGATGATGGAAGAGGAGAATAGAGGGGAGAGAGAGGGAGGGGAGATTGCATTATTAAAGGGTTTATAGTCCCCTCTTACGTAATGTAACTAACACGCCACCTCTCTCTCTCTCTCTCTCTCTCTCTCTCAACACTCCTCCCACCATCTCCCCACACCCCTCTACTCTCCTCCCTGCACCTCTCCTTCCTCCTGCCCCTGCCTGCCCTGCCCCCGCCCGCCCCCTGCCCTGCCCCGCCCCGCCCCGGCTCCACTCCTCCACCCGGTCTTCCCCAACTCCCCTCAGTGTTTCCCCTCGACTCACCTCCTCCCCTTTCACGCTCATCCATCCTGTGGGGCCAAATAGGAAGTAAAAATTCGTTGGATGAGAAGGAGAATCAATATATAATTTGGTTTAGGAATCTTCTACGATTTTCTTCTTTTTAATTCGTTCTCTTTTTCTTTTGTTTTCTATTTCGTCTTCTTCTTCTTTTTCTTCCTCCTTGAACCATTTAAACTTCTTTTTTGTTCTGTATTTTTGCTTTTTTCTTCGTCTTCTTCTTCTCTTTTCTTCACCCTTTCCTCCTCTTCTTTTCTGTTTTTTTCTTTTTTTCTTCTCTTTTTTCCCTTTTCTTCTTCCTCCCACCCACCATCGCATGAGACTAGGGGCAATTTAGTGCTAACCCTCCCCACGCGCCACCCTCACCTCACCTGACCTAACCTAAGATGGCGTCCGATATGCTCACAGACTCTAGTTGTTAGTTGATGTTTTTATTTTGTTATTTATTAAAGGAAAAGAAATAACGGAAATAATGATGTTTTAAGAACGAAGAACGAGTGAGTGGGAGGGGAGGGGGGTGAGGGGGAGAGTGGGGGAGGGGTGGGGGAGGGTGAGTGGGGAGGAGTGAGGGGGAGGGGGTGAGTGGGGGAGGTGAGTGGGAGGAGGGAATGGGGAAGGGGTGAGGGGGAGGGGGTGAGGGGGGAGGGGGTGGAGGGTGAATGGGGGAAGGGGTGAGTGGGAGGAGGGTGAGGGGGAGGAGGGCGAGTGGGGGAGGAGTGACTGGGGGGGAGGGTGGAGGGGAGGAGGGGGAGGGGGAGGGGTGAGTGGGGGGAGGGGGGAGTGATGGGAGGGGTAAGTGAGGGTGAGGGAGACTGGGAAGGTTGAATAGGGAGAGGGGTGAGCAAGAAGAGGGGTGAGTGGGAGCAGGAACAGGGGTGAGTAGTGGAGGAGAGGGAAGGGTAAGTGGGGGGAAGGGGGAGGGCGGGTGGTGAAGGATTAGTGTGGATGGGAGGGATGAGTGAGGGGAGAAGGGTGAGTGGGGGGGAGAGAAGGGGAGACACCTGACCAACATCATCACACATATAGAAATGAGAAATTACCTGCCTTCCACGAACACATTTTCTCTCTCTGTCTCTCTGTCTCTGTCTTCCTCTGTCTCTCCCTCTCTGTCTCTCTCTGTCACTCTGTTTTATCTTCCTATAGCAGCTAACAGTCCTTATGTTGACACAGCTCAAGAAACAATATGATTAGTCTCGCCATATTTTTCCTCCATAACGCTCTTCCTTCTTCTCGTTACGCAAATCATGGTTAGCGTTACGTAAATCGATCAAACTTTACGCAAATCAAGGTCAACGTTACGTAAATCGAACCAAATAACAAAGTTAGTAAGTCAAAACAGCATCAAGGTGAACGGGAGTGTAAGATTATAATTTACAGGACCAGATGGAAGAAGAAAGTACATTTATCTTCACTACAAAACACAACAACAGCGACTGAAGGGGTTCGTGGTGGCGTGCGTCAGGTGGTATATCGTCACAGCTGCTTTCGTTCAACATAACACTCGATCATAACAAAAAGTACACGAAATTATTACAGTGTGTTAGTCGTATAGGCATCTCTAGAGTGTTACAGAGTCAAGGGATATTAATGTTTGTTTCACTTACTAATTACAGATTAATAAAAAAAACAGATAGAAATAAACAAATCCAGAGATAAATAAACAAAAGCAAACTACTTGCTTACGATATTTGTATGAGAAAGAAGAGAGTTAGAGGAGAAGAGGTAGAGGGAGAAGTATAAGATAAGTGTAGAAGGTGAGAAGAGACGATACAAAGAAGCTCATCTTGCTGTCCTCTAGTAACACAAAGAAGGTATATATATATATATATATATATATATATATATATATATATATATATATATATATATATATATATATATATATATATATATATATATATATATATATATATATATATATATATATATATATATATATATATATATATATATATATATATATATAT